TAATGAAGCCAATATGCCAATATTTTTAAGCTGGTGATTTTATATCTTGTTTAAAAAATGTCCCCACCAAGGTCATGAAGCTATTCTCTATGTTATCTTCTAAAATTATTTTTTTCTTTCACAGCTTTCACATTTAAGTCTAAAATCTAATCTCCAGTTGATCCCACATAATTTATAGAAAAGGCGATTCATTCCCTACTGAACTACAGTGTCACCTTTGCTATAAATCAGATAACTATATATGTGTGAGCCTGTTTTTAGACTTTCTGTTCTGTTCTATTGTTCTAATTATCTGTATTCACACCAAAAACATACTGTTTGAATTTCAACTGTTTCATAATAATTGGTAATATCTGTTAGTATAAAATTTCCCACTTTGTTCTTTTACAGATTGTCTTGGCTATCTTGGACCTGTGCATGTCCACATAAATTTTTATAATGTACGTGCGCACACACACACAGGCATACTCCTGATGGGATTGATTAGGATTTCACTGACTCTACAGATCAATTTTTGAGAGTTTACATCTTTATAACATTGATTCTGCCAACCCATGAACACAATATAGTCCTCCATTTAGATACATTTTCTTTAAATCCTCTCATTCATAATATATGTTTCTGCTTAGGTATCTCAAACATATTTTATACATTTATTTATATTTGATTTATTGATGGCATTATTTTTTTAAAATACCACTTTCTAATTGTTTAGTCTTGAAAATTACAATTAACTTTTGGATATTCACATGGTATCTAGAAGCCTTGTTAAATCCATTTATTAATTCTAATATTTTATCTCATGGTTCTTTGAATTTTCTATGCATGTTTAGTCTGTAAATAATAAAAGTTTTTTCTAACTGTATGCTTTTAATTTCGTTTTCCTGACTTACTATATTGAGTAGTATATTAATTGAGTACATTGTTGTAGATTACTCATAGATATATTTGATCAGATCAAGTTACATCTCTTCTACTCCTAGTTTCCCACGAAGGGTGTGTGTGTGTTTGTGTGTGTGCGCGCGTGAGAGCGCACGTGCTCATGTGAGGGAATTAATTTTTTCCAATACTTTTTTATATTTGTTTTCATCCTTCATATTTTTAATGTGATGGTTCACATTGCTTGGTTTTCAAGTGCTACAATGAGATAACATTTCATCCCAGTTAAAATGGCTTTTATCCAAAAGACAGGTGATAACAAATGGTGAGAATGTGGAGAAAAGGGAACCCTCTTATACTGTTGATGGAAACGTAAATTAGAACCACCACTATGTAGAACACTTTGGAAGTTCCTCAGAAAACTAAAAATAGACCTGCTATATAATTCAGCAATCTCATTGCTAGGTATATATCCAAAAGAAAAGAAATCAGTATATAAAAGAGATAACTGCACTCTCTTGTTTATTGCAGCACTAGTCACAATAGCCAAGATTTGGAAGCAACGTAAGTGTCCATCGACAGATGAATGGATAAAGAAAATGTGCTACTTATACAAAATGGAGAACTATCCAGTCATATAAAGAATGATACCATGTCATTTATAACAACATGGATCGAACCGGAAGTCATTATGTTAAGTGAAATAAGCCAGGCACAGAAAGACAAACTTTGCATGTTCTTGCTTATTTGTGGGAGCTAAAAATTAAAGCAATTAAACTCATCAAGAGAGAAAAAAGAATAATAGTTACCAGAGGATTGGAAGGGTAATGGGATGGAGAGTGGAGATGGTTGATAGGTACAAAAGTTTTAGTTAGATAGAATGAATAAGATCAGTATTTGGTTGCAAAACAGGGTGACTACAGTAAACAATAATTTATTGTACATTTTAAAATAACTTAAAGAGTATAATTGGATGGTCTGTAACACAAAGAAAGGATAAATGCTTGAGGTGATAGATACGCCATTTACCCTGATGTGATTATTATGTATTGTGTGCCTGTATTAAAATATCCCATATAACCTATAAATAGCTATACCTACTCTGTACCCACAAAAATTAAAAACTAAAAAAATTCTGAAATGAAAAAGAATAAAAACGACCCTTCCTTGCCCAAATACACCCAGTTTTGTTGTGATATATTGTTCTTTGAATATAGTACTGTACTTAGTCTGATAATAATTTATATAGGGTACGTAACATACTTTCAGTAGGTACTAAATATCCCATTGTTTGGTATAATGAGATTGCTTCAGTGAGTTCTGAGTTGAAAGACATTTGGAGTGATTTCAATGAATGTATTCTTTTAGATATGGCTTCAGTAAACAATCTTACATATATCTTTACATACTAGTGATTTTGTTTTTGATAGATTCTTAAGGAGGGATTGATGGGCAAAAGATTGTGGACTCTTCCATAGCTATTCTCAGGTTACTTTCTTAAAATACTGTATCAATACTTTACCAGTAGAGATTATTAAGAGCTTCTTTTCTCACACCCATTCCAGTACTGAACGTTATTCCATCTGTTTGTTTTCTTGTCCAGCTCAGGGGCAGGGAATGTTATTTCATTTTGCCTTTTTGACTATGAGAATATTGACTAGCTCTTCATAATTGTATTGACTATTTGCCTGTCCTCTTTTGTGGCTTTTCTGTTTAGATTATATATTAATTTTTTATATTATATTTTTGTCTTCAAATCAGTTTGTAGACTTTTATTAAAATAGAGATATTAAGTCTTTGTGATAGATATTCTAAGTGTATTTTCTCAGTTTATTGTCTTTTTGCTCTATTATAATATCTTTGGCTGTATAGAAATATTTATTTTTTATGTAGTAGCAAGTGTCATTTTTCTCTTTTTTTTTTTTAGATGGAGTGGCCCGGCTGAAGTGCGGTGGCCCAATCTCAGCTCACTGCAACCTCTGCCTCCTGGGTTCAAGCAATTCTCCTGCCTCAGCCTCCCGAGTAACTGGGATTATAGGCTGGCACCAACGCGCCTGGCTAGTTTTTGTATTTTTAGTAGAGATGGGGTTTTGCCACGTTGCCTAGGCCAGTCTTGAACTCCTGGCCTCAAGTGATCTGCCAGCTTTGGCCTCCCAAAGGGCTGACATTACAGGTGTGAGCAACTGCCCCAGGTCCATTTTTCTCCTTAAAGTCATCTGGAATTAGTGTTTGGGTAAAGAATGCCCCATAACTCAAACTGCTATAGATTTATCACTTATTTGGCTTCATTTTTGTATATTTGAATCTGTAATCTATCTAGAATTTTTTTAGTTTAAGATAGGAAACTCTAACTTTATGAAAAGATAATCATTATATATTCAGTTTTTTAATGAATGAATTAAAATGTCATATTTAGTACATCCCCTTTGGCTGGATCTATTTCTGATCACTACTTTGTTTTTCCATTTTGTCTCTTCCTGTGCCAATACCATATTCTTCTAATTGTGGTGGCTTGGTAATATAAAATGTACTATGTCACAACCATTGGGATTTTTTTTTTAATTCTGGATAATTTTCATACTTTTATACCTCTCTTTAATAGGAGCTGTGCTATAATTCTAAATATTTCCTACTTGAAATTGTTAAAAACAGAACTGATGAGTCTAAAAAGAATGGACACTTGGGAAAACTAAGAGGTCTTCCTGTCAACGAAGACAGATTTCCAATAGGCATAAATTCTCAAGATCAAGACCTAATTGAAAGGTACCCAGTTAACAATCCATCCTGAGAGTCACCGTAGGTTTAATCTAAGAAAATTCTGTAGTGAAGACTAACCACTAAGTTTTTGTCAAAATAAAGTATCCACTGCCATGAAAAGGGTCAACTTGGTAATGAAAAACAGGACGGCAAACATACTAGGTTTTTATCATAGGTATTATAATAGGAATGGAAGAGAGTCGCTGCCAAAATTGTCTTAAGGAAGGCACCAAATTGAATGTGTACAGGCCATTTTATCAATGTTTTCAAAACTTGGTTGCCCATTGGAATAACCAGAACAATTAATCAGCATCTCTCAGTGTGGAAACCAGGAAACAGTTTTTCTGTAAAACTCCACATATGATTCCAATGTCTAGTCATAGTTGAGAGCCAGTGTTTTAGAAAAGGATAAGAATCTACTTTGAATGAAAATGCAGACGAAAACACAAGAAAAGAAAATCCTTAGCTATTGCTAGGTCCTTTGCCAAGTTCCTCTTGCAAAGTTAATTTTTCTTCAGTAGATGATGGATAGGATTTAAAGTTATTGGGCTACCGCAGGAAGAAATGCAGGATGAGTTATGTGTGTGGGGAGGTGGGGGAGGGAGTAAGGATACTAACCAAATGAAAGTCACTTCTGAAATTTTTAGAAAATAAAGTCATACGAGCTGTTTATAGTCCAATCTAATTCTAGCCTTAGTGGTGGGAGGAAGGAATGGAGGAGGCAGTCAGAGTGAACATATGCACTGAGAGAAGAGTGGGCAGCTTTGGTGAAATCTCCTAAGAAAATTGATAGTCCTCGGCATATATTACCCATGTCTGGTCAGTGCACTCAAGTCAGGATACAAAAGTGGGGTACACACGTGTAAGTGACCCAGAATAGCTAAAACCAGTGACCCTTCTTGTCAGTGTACTCATCTTCTAAGTGGCAATGCTAAATCATTCATGACCTCATGTGCTGCTTTTGGCAAGCGGCTCCCTAATTGCTCCTGTTTTTGCATCGATTCTGCGCAGCATGGAAAAGCGAGTCGTCAACTTGCTTGTGGGTGTATTGACCACCAGGTCCCTCCTCAGCTTTCACCTTCCAGGCCTCGCCCACTCTATTTTAGAACCAGGAGCTGGGAACAGCACCTGTTTTCCGTCTCTAAGGATGGGGTGGGCATTTTGACGGCGCCCTCTTTCAACCAACCCACGCTAAGGTGTCTGTGTTTCTGCGTTTTCAAGCTCCCCCCAGCCGCCCCGCGCCCCCCGCATCCCCATCTCCGTGGCTGAGGGCCTAGGGAGGAGGGAAAATCCATCCTCAGACACAGTAGATCCTCAGCGAGACCTGCTGTGGAGAGCATCAAACGGACCGCACGCGGACCCACCTGCCTTCCAAAGTTTGGGGCGTGAGGAAGCTAGCGCACGTGGCGTTTGGTTATGGCACAGCTGAGGGGTCTGCAGGAGACCCCAGGAAATGCCGCTGAGGACGAATTCACCGACGTCATCAAAAGCCGCGCTGGTAGGACCCCCGCTGCCTTGCTTTTTAGTGTCTGGGTTATTCACTGTACCCTGCTACTCTCCGCAGAGGCTGTGCCCTGGAAGTTGGCACGGGTTGGGGAAAGTTGTGGCGCCCAGCAGAGGAGCAGCAGGGGACTGTCAGGGCGCCCCCGCGCGTGGGGAGGGCGGGGAACCACGCAGGGCGCGGCGTTCCAGGGATAAGGGAGTGCTGCTCTCAGGGAAAGCAGAAATCCAAGTTTTCCAAAGGCCAAGTGGATATCAGTGGGGATTTTATTATTTTTTTAAGAAAGCCCACTGGATATTGAATTTTATTATAGGATGGTAGCTTGCTTTAAAAAGTAAACACAAAGGATTGGTCAGATTGAGTTAAAATAAATATTGTGGTAGCTTGAGGAAGGGAGGAAGGGAGGGAGGGACGGCGAAGGACAGCTTGCCTTGTCAGGGCGTGGCCAAGTGCAGAGTTAAGAAATCTGAGAAGTTTCACCTCAGCTGTGCTGAAGGAAAACGTCAGAGCACTAGGCAGGAAGACTTGCATGCCCGAGGTACAACTATACGAGTTGAAAATCAGTAAAGTAGCAGAAGTGAGAAGTCTAAGGTTTTTGCAGCGCTTCCCACCCCCATGCACGTGTAAATTTCATTTGTAATAAATCTTCTGGTGTTTGGTAGTCTGGCCTACATATGCAAACTCTTGTAAACCAGCATACGTTTTTAAAGCTGTAAATGGAAGCAGCTGTTAAGCTCTCTCTAAGGATGAAGTTTTTCAGCTGCCTGAACCTGCTCCTCTCGCCTTTGGAGACGCAGCAAATTATGGATGTTAGAATTACAGGACCATTCAAGATTTCTTTATGCACATTGGTGGATGCTGAAGAGGACAGAGGTATGAAGTCACTGTCCAAGTATATTACTGAAGTGAGGTTAAAGGAAAGATCACAAAAGAAAAGGAAAGTTAGTAAGAAACGCAGTTGTGTAAATTGCACACCAGCAAAGTGTTCAGAAGATAGTACAGCAGAATTTCTTCAGAACTTTAGTAAGGTCTTTTCACAAGTAGTACGAGTTGATAATGATGGCTATAAGTCACAAAACAATGGTGCTTCTGACAGTTTTGGGGAGAAATCAGTTATTTCGAATTTAAAACCACAGTTCTCCTTTTTTTCACTCCATTATTTAGGTTATCTAACAAGCTTCTTAAATTTTAAAGTGAAGAATGGAAAACTTTCTTAAATGGAATGCCCTTAGCATTCAGTGCCAACGTTAATAGAACTGGCTTTAAGTAGATACCCTAAAAAAAAATGTGAAAAAATATGTTGGGTAGTTTCATACATTGCTTTAAAATTGCTATTGTTTATACATTTTACTGGACAATAACCTTGCAGCTATAATTATCTGAAAACTGCAGAGGGATATCTACTATAAAGCTGTTGCAGATCATTGTTTTGGAAAAAAATGTGTTAATTTAGGAATTAATTCTACAAATTAATTCTATTTATCATTATGCTACATCTAAACTTGCCAGAGCATGGGGGAAATGAGAAAAGGATCCACAAAGATATTCTGAAAACGACATTCATGTAAATTTGTGTGTCTTGGAAATGGGTAGTTTAACTTCATATCTAAAGAAAAATTAATCTACGTATATGTAACATTCCATACTCGATGCTACTATTGAGAGTCACTTTAAAAATGCAGTAATTGAATTGTTATATTTTTATCTGTGAAATTAAGCTTTTGTTAGGAATCTAAATCAGGTGGGGCGAGTTGTCACTCATTACAAAGAGTAATATATAAATGGTCCAACATATTATCTAATTTTCAATATATATCTTTATATTTTTGATAGGTCATTTCCTTTAAGGGTTTAGAGGCCCTTAAGTAAAAGATAAACTAATATTTGCTTTGAATATTTTAGTTTCTGTACATTTATAAAACCAGCATTTTTGTTATATATGTATATATACACACACGTGTGCGTATATATATATATATATATATTCCAGTTTTGATTTTGTTTTGTTAATTCTAAAGTTAAAGGGTGGCTACTATTACTAAAGACTTTTTTTTTTTCATAGCAACTTGTTGTGCACAGCAAAAATATAATGTGGTGGGGCAAACAGTAATACCAGAAAAAGCACACTTAAGAATTTGTTTAGATTATGTCCAGACCTACTTAAATGTCAAGGGAAATTTACACAACAAGAGCATGTTGTAGCAATGCCTTGAGAGATATAAAAATAAATTTTATGTAAGGTGTTTAAACATATTTTAGTAGCGCTATTGAAGATTTTTGTTTACATTGTAATCAGATTTTTAAAATTGAAGACAGATGATTATAATGTACATTGATAATAAAAATTTGTGCTTCATTAGATTGATTTTATACATTACTCTCAGCTCCTCATTTGATGAGGAGTCACGGCAATGTGAAACTTTGACAATTATTATTTCTCCCATCACAACTGCATACTCTTAATTCATTTCCTCAAGGAACGATACTTTTGACTGATTATGGTTGATGTACGTGACTTCAATAATCATAATGTGAGTACTACCCACGGGAAGCCCTATGCTTTGGGAGAAAATTGTTTATTACAAAATGAATAACCTGAAACAGAAACAGAACTTTTACTCTTTCAGACATTAACTACAGATAACCTAAAGGTAAAAATCTCAGTGTTTAAAAGCATTTCAAGACAATGCATTTGCAATTGTCTTTTCTTCCTTGGAAACAGCAAATATGGGTATTTGATCTATTGATTTGGATGCTTTCCTGTAATTAGAAATATCCCAGTGTAACATATACAGCTCCATGCTGTTAATCTTTTAAAATCAGTTGTAAATTTAATTAGCCCTGGTTTCTCTTATGACATTTTTGTGGTTTGTAATCATTTAGCATCTTGCTACATCTTTAGATCTTTTACTGGCATAGGATAATACATGAATAATTGAATAAAATGTACCTAGGGTTTGTGTCATGAAAGGTTTTTTGAAATAAACTCAGATATTTTCTTCAGAAGAAAATCAGCTAAGTAGTTTTTATCTTAAAAAAAAGGAATAAAGATTATCTTTGATCTGATCTTGAGGTCTACTACAAAAAAGATCTTTCTGGTGTCCAATTTCACATTGATGTAATTCATATTTTATTACAAATCCCAACTATAAAAGATTGCTATATCCAAAGGTAGATACATTTTATTTTATCTATACATCATGATTATAAAGAGCTCTTTACAAAGAGTAATATATAAATGGTAGACAAAATAACTATTTTGAAACGCATTAGATTTATACCTTTAGTTTTTTTAACTATCCTTACTTAAAACAAGAATACAATGTAATTGAGCTTATTTTTTCAGTTTGAGCTAATGCTCTTAAATTGTAAACTTATAGTACTATACCACTAACAATTAGATATTCTCAGAATAATACAAGCATCAAATTAGACAAAGATACTAGGGATTTTACAAGGGAAAATGTGGGCAAGAAATCAGAGACATTTTGAAAGGCATGTTCTTTTCAGAACTGCAAATTATTACATTTGAAAATATTTTCTTACTAGGCCATTCAATATCTGCAGTCACTTTGGTAATGAAACCTGCACTTATCCATCCTAGGAAAATTATATTCTCATATCATCCCCCCAAAAGCAGGTAATTCACTGTTTATGTTTGTAGAAGACCTGCTTTGGTGAGTAAAAACAAAAACAACCTTTAGTGTGAAGATTTCGCTTTGCATGAATATGTGAGAATTCTTCTGCGCAGAGACTTTGCTAAGGAAGTTGTAGGTAATACTTTTCATAGATAATAACCACTCAAGTATTTTGTAGTATATTGTAAGTTTTACTCTCCCTTAGGTAATTGGGTATGAGAGCAGTCCTATTGCAAGATTAGTTAGAAGACTAGAGAATTGTCCATTCTCATTCTCGATTACAGATAGAGTTATGGATATTTATGAGAGCTAAAACATTTTTCCACGTTATACCCACATTGTTTTCAAATCTATGTATTACGTTTTATCTGATATGAGAGTGAATGAGAAGTGAATTAGATTATATTCTTTCCTACGAGGAGACATTTGGAAATTATGCATATTGAGTTAATGAGTACATTTGACTTGAGATGGGACAATTTCTAAGTTCCTACTGAAAGTTTTACATAAATTTTGATAGCTACTTTCAATTTAATAAATTTAGCCAATTTATCTTGACAATCAATAATTCTGAGCTCTAAGTTCCTCTCTACATAAACTCTGTTCTCTATTACAATGAAATTGAAGGTAAAAACAATGAACTCTAATAGTTTCATGAAACCATAGTTAGTAATTAGGGGACTATCTAGTAGTGTGCTGGGGCTGGTTGGAATTGACTCATGAGATTCAATGGTGTGAATCTTTTCCTAAATCTGCATTCAGTGACATCATATTGGTGTTTTAAAATTATCATGGTGGGTGACATGGTTTGGCTCTGTGTCCCCAACCAAATTTCACCTTGAATTGTAATAAAACCCACATGTCAACGGTGGGACCCGGTTGAGATAATTGAATCGTGGGGTGGTTCTCCCCATGCTGTTCTCATGATAGTGAGTTCTCACAGGATCTGATGGTTTTATAAGGGGGTTCCCCCTTTGCTCAGCACTCGTTCTATCTCATGCCTCCTGGTGAAGAGGTGCCTTCTGCCATGATTGTGAGTTTCCTGAGGCCCCTCCAGCTATGTGGAGCTGTGATTCAATTAAACCTCTTTTCTTATAAATTATTCAGTCTCAGGTATTTCTTTATAGCAGTGTGAGAATGGACTAATACAGTAGAGTTATTTATAACATAAAAGATGGTCAATATTACCGATAAGGACTTTTTTTTTTCTTTTTAAAGAGATAGTTATTAAATATTTATTTGTTAAGTATGGCAAGTATTTCCAATACTGGAACTGTTAATGATGGAAAAATACAAATTTGGAATAAAAACTATTTTGTTGAGGCTGTATTCAAGTTAGGTATGCATTTTACTACAAGTAAAAGAATAACCAACTAACTATGGCCTCAACAAATTTTACATAAGAAGAAATCTAGAGGTAGGCCTTTTCTGGCATTGGTGTGACATTTCAGTGCTATCAGGACTGGTTTCTTGATGATTCTCTTGGCCTTTTCTTTCTGATTATAAGCTGACAGCCACTGTTCAGCTACTATTTGAGGCCTGAAGAAAGAAGAAAGCCACCAATTGCATCTCTTTCAGACTCCCTTCAGCAGACTGCTACCTATGTCTCATGGCAAGAACTGCTATGCTATGTGGCCATCCTTAGGTGCAAGAGATGCTGAGATTGTGAATATTTAGTTCTTACAGTCTCTATATGAATTGTTGTGAAGGACAAAATAATTTAGGAAATTGAAATGGTGTTAGTATAGCCAGTCATCCAAGTTTGTTTATTTTGTTGCTTCTTAACTATTGAGCCTTGTGTTGTAGTAAAGAATATAGTACCTCTTAAACACCTAAGTTGTTCCTGATTATACAATCATAAATTAGATTAAGCTTATATCATGAATTCTTCTCTTTTTCCTTTAACAGATAAAGCCCATCACAGCACATGGATTTAAAGATTTAATAGCTGTGACCTTTTGTCCCTAGTTAAGGAACATGAAATCACCCTTTGATTTCTGTCATGCCAGTAAAACCTGACCTTTATAATCCCTTGGAACTGATGTGCTATTTTGAGAATGGGCCTAATTTAACTATGACAAATGACCACAACTATAGGACTACCCAAAGACAAGTATAGGACATGCATTTCTGTGGAATACTTAATGACTATATTTCATTCTAATAAAGTTGATTGGGAGGACCACTTGTAAACACCTTTGGGTCATGTCCTGTGACTATAGTAACTGAAAACTG